TAGTAAAAAAAAAAAAAGAGTAAGGGGAGGGGGGGACTGGAGAAATGGATTAGTGGTTAAAAGCTCTGGTGCTTTTGCATAGGACATCAGTTTGGTTCCCAGCACCTACATTGGGTGACTCACAACTGCCTTTAACTCCAGCAAATCTGACACCTGATTCTAATCTCTGTGTATACCCACATACACATAAATAACAAATCTTTTTAAAAAGACTGCTTTGACACCTAAGACTCACAGAACATAGAACAAGGGATGAAGAGAACACTGATACATCTTTCAGTTCTCATCAATGAAACTCCCTCATGCAACAGAGGGCCAGGAACACTAAAGGCCACAAATGGCCAAAATGCAGAGAATAAGAGTCAGCAGAGTGTGGGTCTTTGGACAGGACTCCTACATTGAGGTCCACCCACCCAGGGCTCATGGACCATTGTGGAAGAAGGGGAGGAAAGGTTGTTAAGAGCCAGGGAGGAGGTGCATGACCGTATGGAGATGGTCCTACAGGTACCGGGACCCTTCTCATACAAACCTTCAGCAGTGGTGTTAGCATGCACAAGACCCATGCAAACAGGCAGACAAATACCCAGCACAGAACTGTGGAAATAAACAGCAGGCCCCAATCTTAGTCAAAGAATTACTGGTGGCTGATTGCTGCTGGGCGAGAAAGAGCTGCTCTAGATAGACTGACTAAACCCAAGTGGATGAATTTGCACTGAGGAATATCTCAGGACACTATCTTTACATAGTAGGCCTTAGTACAAATGACAAATGTATGAACTGGGGCGGGGGGGGCCTTTGGGAAGGTGCCAAAGGGGAAGGGAGAAGGGGGTCTAAAGATGATTTTATGTATTAAATACACAAAAATTCAATAAAAATTTTTTAAAAAGATTACTTTGAGCAGTATTTCCAACTTAGCATTATTAAGTCTTCTAATGCATGCAAATAAGATATTTTCCCATTTATTTCTATCTTCAGTGTATTTTTTAGTATGCGGATTTTCCTTCTTCCTGGTTAAGGTCCCTCACATTTTATTCTATTTGACTTTTTATACTGGAATTTTTTTAATTTCTTACTTGTAATTGTTTATTGTTAGCATACAGAAATTAGTTGATTTTTGTGTGTTGCATGGAACTTTACTGAGCTCTTTTACAGATTTTAACTTTTTTCAGACTAGAAATCAACAAAATTCATGTCATCTGTAAACAGAAATTGTTTTACTTCTTCCTTTTCAACTTAGATGCCCTTAAGTTTTTTTCTTGGTGGGATTGAACTATGTTAAACTGGTGGCAAAATTGGCACCCGTGTCTTGTACCTGATTGTAAACAAAAATCTTTCACTGTTGAGTTTAGTGTGTTAACTGTGGACTTTTCATATATAGTTTTTATTATGTTATAGTATTTTTTATTGAGTACTTTTATCATGAAAAGTGTCATTTTTGACAAATACTTATCTGCATCATTTAACATGCCAGTGGATTTTTTTCATTTTAATGTGGCATATATTACATTGAATTTTGTTTTAAGTTGCCCTTGTATTGCAAGATATCTCTTCATTTTCAGTAGTGTTTTTCAAAGAAAGCCTTTTAATTTTATGATGGTCCCTTTTATTGGTTTTTAAATGAGCCATGTTTTTGGCATTGCATCTGAAAAAAAAATCTGCCTAAAGATTTCTGTTCTCTAAAGATTTTATAAAGATGGGGGCTGCAGACATGGCTTAGGGTTAAAAGCATGTCCTGTTCTTGCTGAGGACTCAAGTTTGGTTCTCAGCATCCATATCAGGTGGTTTACAGCTGCCTCTAACTCCAGCTCCAGGGGGATCTGATACCTCTGGCCTCTGCGGGCACCTGTACTCATGTACACATGCTTACACACGTCTCCATTTTTTTTTAATTTAATGTATATTGGGTGTATTGCTTGCATGTAGGTAGGTACATCCATGTTGTGCAATGCTCACGGAGGTCAGTACTGGAGTTACTGCCAGGCTAACTGGGTTAGCCACCATGTGGGTGCTGGGAATCAAACCTGGGTCCTCTGCAAGACCAGTCAGTGCTCTTAACCACTGAGCCATCTCTCCAGCCCCAAGTACACATAATTTTTAAAAAATTATATGTATTTTTAAAAGATTTTTATAAGGATTCTTTATAAAAATTTCTCCCAGAAATTATATGGTTTTATATGTTATATATTTTAAAAATATTTTACTTATTTTTTTATTTTATGTGTACAAGTGTATTGCCTGCATGTGTGTAAGTACACCTGTGTCATGCAGTGCCTACAGAGGTCAGCAGAGGATGTTGGATTCTCTGGAACTGAAGTTAGAGATGGTTGTTAGCTGCCATGTGGGTGCTAGGAATAGAACCCGGGTCCTCTGGAAGAGCAGCCAGTGCTGTTAACCAGTGAGCCATCTCTCCAGCCCCTATACTTTATGTATTTTAGGTAATTGAGTCGTTGGTCAAGGGTATTCCAAAGACCCCCAAAACAATGTAAGCTATTACCATTGCTTTTGCCTGCCCGTTAGAACTTGATGGACCTTATTGCTGAAGATAACATACAGTTATGATCACAGGGCAGGGAGAAATCAGCTTGAAACTGATCAGGAAGCATCATCCCTGCTGGCTAGCTTTTACAGTACTATTTGAAGGTGCTGTGCAGGCTGCTGATGGAGGAGAGTGGAAGGAGTCACCAGTCTTAGTGCACTGTAAATCCTGAGTGCTACAGTAATGACTGGTGGCAAGGTATGCCCATGAATGCAGTAGTAACACACATGTTATGGGGATGCCCAACTGCTTTATGATTAAATTTAAGACCTGCTTCACAGGAGGAAACAAGCTTATAATACTGTAGGCCTAGAACCCATAGCTAGGGAACTCATAGGCATTTTAGTAACTTCCAAGTATATTTATTTCTATATAGAGCTATATTTCTATCTGGATCATATTTCACTTGAAGAACTTTCTTTAAATTTTCTTATATTCTGTATCTACTGATACTCAGTTCTCCGTTTTCTGATCTCTTTTGTCTAAAAGCGTTTTTTTGGGGGGGGTCTTTTTTGAGACAGGGTCTCCCTGTAGTCCCAGCTGGCCTGGAATTCTCTACATAGACCATGCTGGCCTGGAACTTACAGAGATCCACCTGCCTCTGTCTCCTGAGTGTCGGGATTAAAGGCATGTGCCACCATGCCCAGCTTGTCTAAAAGCTTTTATTTCTCCTTCACTTTCAAAGATATTTTCTCTGAGTGTAGAATTCTAATTTAAAAATCGTTTTTTTTTTTTTTCTATCTTGAATCTCCTCTAGTATTGTACATTAAACCCATAGCCTTGTCTAGAGATTTTTTTTTTTTTTTTAGCACTGTCATACCATGGCCATCTAGATTATGAGGAAAAACTTACAATTGTTAATTTGTTCTCCTGTTTGTGTTTTTGTTGTTTTTAATCCATAGTTTGAAGTATTTTTTAGCCTTTATGTCTAAAGATATTTATTTCTTCAACTGTCTTTTCTCCTAATAGTACAAGAACACATTTTTTAGGTGTTTTTATTAGGTTGTCTACATGTTTTATAATATCTCTGTTCTCCTTGTATTTCAGTTTGACTAATATCTAATAATTTGTTTTCAAGTTCATTCATATTTGTGTATCAAATCCACTGAACCAGTCAAAGATATTCTTCCTCTCTGTTACCATATTTATCTTGATTCGTGCTTATGGTTTCCATTTCTCTATTGAAATTCCCAATTTAATCAAACATAGTGTCTCCTTTTCCAGTAAAACCTTTAATATTACTGTTTTACTTCCTTCCTTGATATAACTAAAATCTCTGAGTATGAACTTGTGAATTGCTTTTTCTCTTGTCAGTGGATTTATTTATTTATTGCTTTTTGGCATATATTACAATTTATTGAATGTCAAAATTGCACAAAAGACAGGAATGATTTATAGTACAGTTGTCTCTTTATTCACAGGATATTGGTTCTAAGATCCTTTGTGAATACCAAAATCTCTGGTTACTAAGGTCCTTTATATCAGATGACATAGTATTTGCACATGTTATCCTAAATAATCTCTGGATGAGGTGTACTAATATAACATGTGCTTTGTAAATATTTGTTACACTATTTTTGAGAATAATGATAAGGAAAAGTCTGTTTATGCTCAGTTATAGACATAGTCTTTTTTGTCTAGATATGTTCAATCCATGTTTGGTTGAGTCCACAAACATGAGACTCATAGATAAGGAAAGCAGACTGTTGATCTTATTTCTTCCTTCACTTGGGCATGACGTTTCTGATCTTGTGTTAGTACAGGAGTTAAGTCATTCTACTCAGGGGTTAAAGCAGATTTGGACTTTGTTTATCCTCTAGCATTATCTGGTGTTTAGGGTTAAGACTGACCTGCTGGAGAGTTTTTCAGTTCCTGCTACTTTTTCAGCTTTTGGGTTGTCTTGTACTCTTAACCTTCCCACAATAGAAAGCTGCTATCAGCTTGATGGTAAGTACACAACTGTCTTCTGGTAGCAGGTGAAGTCACTCAAATGAAACTTATCTCTATAAGGCGAAAATGGTAGGTAGTTTAAAAAAAAAATCAAAACCCTACTTCAATTAGAGCAGGCAAATAGTTGCATGTTTTCTCAAAATCTAAACATTAAAAATCATTCCATAAAAGAAGAATTAGAAAATAGTTTCTTTGGGGGGATAAAAATGAGTTGCTAAATTAATAACCTCACTTCTTTGTTTTATTCTGTCCTTTAATGTTTTGAGGAGATATTGTCACTTAATAAACTTTAGGAGTACTTTTAACTTTTCATTTTAAACTGATTTTAGATTTTCAGAAAAGTTACAAAAACTACACTCTCCATCTACCTTCCACCTAATATCCCTTAATATTAACTAGCATTTTGATTTTAATGTAATTATCAAACTTTGGAAGTTAGCATGACTACAGTAAGACTAAGTAAGTCTCAGTTTTCACTAACAGTACTTTCTTTTCTTTGTTTTTTCTTTGACAGTGCTGGGGATCGAACCCAGGGCCTCTCCCATGCTAGGCAAGTGCCTTACCACTGAACTATACCTGCAACTCCAGTGTTCCTTTTCTATTATAGGAGCCTGTTCAGAGATCCCATGTTTCATTTATGTTTCATTTAATTGTTATTTCCTAGTTTCATTTGTCTGCTCTTCAATCTTTATTTTTTGAAGATTATTTTTTGATCACTTATTTTGCAAAATGTCCTTACATTTGAGTTTGTATTTTTTTTCCTTATTTTGATTAACATTTTGAGTTTCTTTTTCCTAAGAATATCATTGGAAATGATTTGCTGTTCTTTATCTGTCATATCAGAGGGTTTATAAAGTGGCTATGTCTCAAAACTGGTGTTAAGCTTTAGAAATTTTGATGGTGGAAACTGTTTTCTTTCAAATATTAAAATTATATCAGTCTATAAAAACATGCTTCATGATGCAAACTACTTATTAAACACAAAAACATTGATTAAAGAACTCTTTAAGCATCACTAGTTGGTTAATGAGATGAGATTAGTAGAATTTGACTAATTGGGATAAATTTCAATAATGAAAAAGAGAAACAACATTTTTCTTTCAAATCAGGCAATTTTTTCTCCATTGCAGAGTTAAGAGGGGAACTATCAAGAGAGGAGTCTGCTCAGCTAATAGAGTTTCCTTTGTAATAAAGTTATTAGAACCAATTTCTCGGTTTAACGTAATGAGAATCATTTTGTTATAATCAGTGTTTGTATTTATTTAAAATTCTGAATATGATTATTTATAAATCAGTAATTCCAAAAGAAATACTCTGAATGCCTCAAACCTTGCTGTCATGTAAGCATACTCATAAATGAATGAAATTGTAGTAGGTTTTGGTGCCCTTCAACAGTCCAGTACATTGACAGGTGTTATTTTAGGCTTTGGGTATATTGTATATTATATATATAATGTATATGAATATGTATATATATGTATATACTATAATATTCCTCAAGAAAATGAGACGATCTCTGCTTCTGTTACAATGCAAGTGAGAAGTATATTCCATGTTAAAAGTACTTTGGTACTTTTTTATATGTCTTTACCTGCCTGATTTTCTTCACAAGGGACATTTGAGTGAAGTATTTATGTTTTTGTTTGGTGGTTGCCCTTGAAGACATTCTTAGACTAAAAACCCAATAATAGAACTGAACAGTGCTGTCTATTCAAAAGCAGTATTCAGTATAATGATAGAATTTTCTCCTTGTTTTATTTTAGTTCAGCAATCAGCAAACACTGGGAAGCTGAATTGGCTACCCTTAAAGGAAATAATGCCAAACTCACCGCAGCCCTGTTGGAGTCCACTGCCAATGTGAAACAATGGAAGCAGCAACTTGCTGCCTATCAAGAGGAAGCAGAACGCCTGCATAAGCGAGTAAGTTCAGGGTTGCTGTTAGGATCCAGAGATGATGGCTTTCCTTGATGAGAGGAAATTTGCATGTAGATTCAGACATGGATGGCTTCTGTGAATATCCATTGGTTATCAGAACATGTATATGAACTGTGCTTGGGGGTTTGTTTGGTTTAGAAAAATATTTCCCACGGTTTAATGAGAATGAAGATGATAAAGCTTTTGAAATCAAGTGAGCTGCTTATAGTTACAATTGTGCCATGGCAGTTTGCTCTACATTACCTTTGGGAATTTACTTCTCTATTTCAGTTCAGCCTTTTCCATCTATTATATATATATAGTTTCTATAGTTTTTTGAAAATTACCTAAGACACTTAATTGGTGATTAGCTACACTGAGTCAAAAATACATACTCTGCATGGGAACAAGGCTGCTTAAAGATAATCCCAGCTACTTGGAAGTTTATGGCAGGAAAAAAGTGATGTGAGAGGTATGCACACAGAATGGGGAGTGACTTGCAACTTGGAAAATTCAAGGCAAAGAGATATTTTCTTGCTTACTTCCTGAATAATCCAGAATTTTCTGTATGCTAGTCAACTAGATTTGGGGAGTGTGCTATGTGTAGAGTTGTAATAGGGAGTGTATATGTGTTTGCAAGATTTCTGCCTGTATTGGCTCTGTTTAGGGAGGAGTGGCCTTTTTAAAATAATTTTTAATTTGTTTTTATCTTATGTGTGTGAGTGTTTTGCCTGCATACATGTTAGTGTTCCATGTATGTGCAGTGCCCTTGGAAACAAGAAGAGGGCATCAGATACCCTGAAATTAATTACAGATGGTTCTTAGCCATTATGTGGGTGTTGGGAACCAAACCCAGGTCCTCTGCAAGAGCAGCCCGTGCTATTAACCACTGAGCCATCCCCCTGGCCCCAGGAAGGAGATAACTTTCAAGAACTCTTACCTTTTCCATTCTCTTATAAGTACTCATTGCCCCAGCACTGTGGGGTGGGGGTGGGGTGTAGAGGCAGGCAGATCTCTGTGAGATGGAGGCCAGCCTGGTCTACATAGTGAGTTCCAGGCCAGCTGGGGCTACAGGGAGACCGTCTCAATAAGACAAGATATATATATCTTGGTAAATTCTTACTGACTGAAGAATTATCTTTCCGATATGAGGCACTATTGACATAAAGTCATTGCTTTAAGTTATATATCTTTCCTTTCAGATTCTTTTGTATTTTAGAAATGTACTTGAAAAAAATCTTTACTTCTGCAAGGCCAATTTTTAGAACCCATGTTTTATTTGAAGACTGCAGATGGAGAGAGCAGATGGCCATATCTGTACTTGTGTATATTTTCAGAAGAAATATTTAAGGAAGACTTTGATTAAAGGAATTCTCCATAGTGATTAGTTGCTTAAGTTTCCCTAACCTGTGTCAGACCAGCATATAAATAATTACTTCCTTTGTCTTGCTATTCTCTTGAATATGTATCTTTAAAGGATCTATTCTATGCTAAGAACATTAGTAAGTTCTCTCATACATTAGTTCAGAATTCATGACCTAATAAGGGACTTACTACATCTTCAGCAAGAAGCATTTGGAAATTGCCGCTCAATTGAACCTGTGTTCTCATTTAATCGTAGGTCACTGAGCTTGAATGTGTTAGTAGCCAAGCAAATGCTGTGCATACCCATAAGACAGAACTCAACCAAACAATACAAGAACTGGAAGAGACTTTGAAAGTAAAGGAAGAGGTATTTACCATTTTTTTATTCACCTGTAATCCAGCTAACATTTGTGTACATACTAGACTCTATCAAATGTAAAAGTATTTTCTTGAATGAAGTGAGATTGTGGCGTTTTTTTTTTAAAAAAAAAAAAATAAAACTTTTATTGAGTGTTTTAAAGCTGGTCACAGTTTCTGCATTCTTTCTGTTGTTACTGTGAGCTATATTGAACTGTGGTGTGCCAGTCAGACTGAGAAACTGTTGCCCTCTGTTTGAGAGTTGTATTCATATAATGAAAACCATTAGAGATTAAATGAATTTTGTAAGATGTTACTTTCTTTGGTTTCTAGTCACAAAAAGGTTTTAAATATTGTAGAATAGAATTATATCTCAAATTTGAAGTATTCTTAATCTGGTCAGATTATTCTAAGCAGTGTATGTCAAAGTCAAGTTAGGCTTACTGGTTAAAATCATTCTGAGCTGGACATACAGTGAGTCATGCCTATAATCCCTGGACTAGGGAGGCCGAGGTTGGAGGATCTTGAGTTTGAAGCCAGCCTTTGCTACACAATAAGTTCAAGGCCAAACTGGAGTATACAGTGAGCCTATGTCTTCAAGATAAACAAAACAAGACAAACCCCATTCTGTTCTAGGTAACATGTCTTTAAAGGCATGTGTCCCTCTGCACGTAAATAAAGGAATTTATTTTTAATCACTATTTCCTAAGAACCTAGATAATAATTTAGGGAGAAAAGTAGAGTTTTCTCTCCTCAATATTGTTTAAATGTTATTGCTAAAGACAGTTTTTTACCTTTCCTAGGAAATAGAAAGGTTAAAACAAGAAATTGATAATGCCAGAGAACTCCAAGAACAGAGGGACTCTTTGACTCAGAAACTACAGGTGAGCCAATCTTAAAAAAACACTGGTGTTTTTTGGGCTTTTTGGGGAGGTTTTTTTGTGTAGAAAAGTTTGACATTCTTCACAACAAAATGGCTTTTTCTGAGGCTTCAGTTTTGTAGGTTTTCATCATTTTTTCCCTAATACTTCTGATTCATGTCTTAGTTTCAGTTTTCTAAAGGTTGCTTGATAACTTCATTTAGGTTGTCTGTAATCATTGGTAGTCATTTATAAATTATTGTTAGTAAGTTAATTTGGAAAATTTTTGCTTTTATCATTAAAAATACCCTGAATTTAAGGGGGAAAAAAATCTCAAATGTGTTTTATTTAGTTTAGGAACTCTGCTCATGTTCTGTATACTGAACTGTCTGAATTCTAGCTTTTGTTGTTCACTAAAAGAACAAAAGTTCCTTTTTCCTTTTTTAAATCTTAATTTTGCTTATTTTCTCTTTTTAAATTATTTTTTATTTATTTTTATTTTTTATGTGTATGAGTGTATTGCCTGAATGTGTGTAAGTTCACCTGTGTCATGCAGTGCCTGTGGAGTTAGAAGAGGGCATTGGAGTTCCCTGGGACTGGAGTTATGGGATGTTAGCCACCATGTGGGTGCTGGAAACCAAACCTTGGTCCTCTGCAAGATCAGCCAGGGCTCTTAGCAGCTGGGTCATCTCTCCAGGTCCAACCCCGGCCCCATGCCCCTGCACCTTGGCACTCACTTTTTTCTGTATAGGTACTATACTTCCTGATTCTAGTTTGCATGCATTCATCCTGTGTTTGTGGGAGTCAGATAAAAAGAGGGAAGAATTTTCAGGATTCATTACCAGCTCCTTTTGCGAGCACAAACTACCTGCATCAGAAGAGGGTTAGAACCATTTTCAAGTAAGTACAAATGTATGCAAAAGTGAAGAATTCAGTTTAAGGCATAGGGGAACCTGAAAGCTAAGGAATGAAAGGAGGGCATGATTATAAGAGCAACATTTATTCCAAACTTGCCATGTACAGGCACTTTGCTAGGCACTTTATTCATATTTTCTTATTATATAACAGCAAAATACAAAAGAACCTGGGGACTTAGAAAATTCTTAGCTAACTGTATTTGAATGGAGATAATCAAACTCTCAACACATATGTCCCTGACTACCAAACTCTGTGACAGTAGTGACTCTTCATAAAGAAAGCAGTTTTCTTACCTGAAATGAAATGTGCCCCCACCTCTCCTGCCACTGGCTTTCAGTAGTCTGGGAGATGAGGATTGCTTGTTTTGCTTTGTTCAACTAAGTGCTGTTTCTACATTTTAATTTTCTATGTAGTGGTTCTCAACGGGTATTTTTGCATCCCAGTGAACATTTACTAATATGTGGAGACATTTTATATTTTCACTACTAGAGAGTACTGCTAGAGAGTATCTAGTAGTCAAAGCTGGGGACCCTGCTAAATAGTGGATGGACTTTCTGACCAAGAGTGTCAGGAGTGCTGAGGCTGAGGTACCTGGTGGAGAACTAGAGTATGAAGCATATAATTGGAGCTGGAGGAAAGCGGAGTGAGAATATTCAGCCTGCTTTTTCTCTTGCTCATTTTTGGTTTTGAGTACTTTCTGTGACTCTGGTGTATACTATGTACATGCACATGTTTCCTCTAATTCTCACCGTGGCAGGTTGAGTATCCTGTTTTCAAAGAGAAGACAGTAGTCCAGAAGGTGTTAACAAGTTTAATTAAGACACTAGCTACAAAGTTTGTGGGAGTCAGATAAAAAGAAGGAAGAATTTTCAGGATTCATTACCAACTCCTCTTGCATATCAAACTTCTATGTTGATATATCTGAATGTATTTCATCATCATTTAAGCAGTAATTTAGTTTTACAGCTGGCGCCTGAAATTGTAGGTATGGATCATTAAGAATTTTTTTCACTAAATATCAAATACTATCAGCAAAAGCAACCTTCCCGGAATATCTCCTATTTATCAAAAGTCCCATTACCCTTGAATCTCTATTTACAAGTTCAGTCTCGAAAACTAGGATCATTCGGTTCCTAGGATGGTGAAAGAATTCCTCAAATTGTAATGTATAGAGTTAGATTAATTGGAAGTGTGTGTATGAATAGGAAATTTGTAATTATGATAAAAATTGTGATGGGGGGGTTGTACCACACATCTTTAATCCAGCACTCAAAAGGATCTCTGTGACATCAAGGTCAGCCTAGTCTACATAGTGAGTTCCAGACCAGTTGGGGTGACAGGGAGACCCTGTTGCAAAAAACAAAAACAGGAATATTATGATTTGTTTTAATTTTAAATTTTTAATATTTGGTTATTTCTAAATACCAGTGTAACAGATGTTCATTGTTAAAAGCTTATAAAAATATATACCTAGCAAAGTAAAATAAAAAACTTTAAGTTCAGGACTGGAGAGATGGATCAGCAGTTAAGAGCACTGGCTACTCTTACAGAGGACCCAGGTTCAATTCCCAGCACCCACATGGCGGCTAACAACCATCCATAACTCCAGTTAGTTGCAGGGGAAATCTGATGCCTTCTTTTGACCTCTGTGGGCATTGCACAACACAGGTGCACTTACACACATGCAGACAATATGCTCACACACATAAAATAAAAATAATAAAATTTTAAAAATTCTAATCTCTTCAACTTATGGCAAAGTATGTAGTGTTCCTTTTCCCAGTGCTTGCTTATATAAAGATGTCTTTACATGCTTTTCTCCCAGTATCCCTATTTGAATGGAAGTTTATGTTATTAATAATAAATATTTACATAAATGTTTAGTCTCTGGTGATTTCTTGAAGATGAACTTTAAAAAAACATTGCATGATGCTAGTGTTTTAAAATGTCTTATGATAAGAACTGTTATCTGGAAAGCAGGGCATCCACTGGAGATTGGTCTTTGCTCATAGGAAATAAAGGGGAGTAGCTCACTTTGATCCATCCATCCATCTGGTCATTCATCCATCCATCTATCTAGTGGTACTGGGAATTGAACTCAAGTCTTTATACATTGTACATGCTCATCTCCATTCCTAGCCCTAGCTCACTCCCCCCCCACACACACACTTTAAGTTACAATTTTTTCATTATAAGTAAAACTGAACATTTTTCTGTATATTTATGGCCATTTATCGTCTTTATAACTTTTTTTTTCCTTTTTGGTCTTTTTGAGACAGGGTTTCCCTGTAGCACCAGCTGACCTGTAACTTGCTATGTAGATCAGGCTGGCCTTGAACTCAAAGAGATCCACCTGCCTCTGCCTCCCCAGTGTTCGGATTAAAGACATGCACCACCACACCCAGCTATAACTCTTTACTTTTTTATTTTCTTTTGAGACAGCGTCTCCCCATAGCCCCAGGTGGCCTGGAACTCACTATGTAGACCAGGCTGGCCTCAAACTCACAGAGATCTGCTTGCCTCTGCCTCCCAAGTGTTGGGTTAAAGGCATGCACCATCATGCCTGGCATCTCCTTACATGTTTTAAACGTTGTGTTTATGTTTATGAAGTGTGCATGTGTGTGGGGGTACTCATGTTAGAAAACAACTTTGTGAAGTCTGTTTCCTCCTTTCACCCTATGTGAGTTCAGAAGATCAAACTCAGGTTAGGCTTGTACAGCAAACACTTTATCTGCTGAGCCATCTCACCTGTCCCTATCATCATTATACATCTTGAGGGCCCCATTTTGTGCTTTTACCGTAAGAGTACATGAGCAGTCCTTGCCTGGAAATTTAAACTCACAGGTCTTCACATGGCTGGCTTGTAGTCAGGCATTTACACAGATGTTTCTCTGACTTGCCAACTTAAGCACTATCCCTTAGGTCCCTTGCACCATTCCCATGTTCTTTGTACTGTTACCAAGTTTTATTTTCCATCTGTGTTTACCAGTGTTTTGAAGTGATCTTATTTGATTCGATTTTTCCAACTTCTTAATTTGAAATAATTTTAGACTTAGAGAAAAGCTGCATGTGTAATACAGTTATTCGTTGCCCTCTGTTGCATAAGGAAGTTTTGCTGATGAGAGTTGAGAGATGCATTAGTATTCTCTCTACCCCTTGTTCCACTGTGTTCCGTGAGCCTTAGGTGTGGAGGTTCCATTGTTCCATCCAACTTAGGGTTGGGCATTTCACAGTCACTTAATCTTTGTGTGTGACCAGTTGTGGAACTCTGTAATAATCTCTGTCTATTGCAAAAAAAATCTTCTTTGATGAATGGTAACTGGCATACTTGTCTGTAAATATAAGGAACCATATTGAGCATATAATAAGAAATTACATTTGTCTATCAAACATTTCTAATACTCAGCTACCATCATATTGGCCATGAAGTTTTGGCACCTGGTTTTTGGATGGACAGATTCAAAGCACAGCACTCACCATCTGTCCTTTTTATGAAGTTTCCATAATTGTGTCTTGTTTTTAGAAAGGTTCCTCTTGTGGGTGCTCCCAGAAGCATTTATGAATACCTGTGTCCTGAGTTCTTGTATGTTCAAGCCACTGAGTGGGTACTTGGGTCATAGCTTGGTAAGATATAAAATCTTTGCTCTTCCTTTTCCTTGAGTTTGAAAATGACATTCTGTTATGGCTTTATTTTATATCTTTAAAAAATAATTTATTTATTTATTTATTTATTTATTTTTTGGTCTTTTTGGCACAGGGTCTCCCTGTAGTCCCAGCTGGCCTGGAACTTACTATGTAGGCCAGGCTGGCCTTGAATTCACAGAGATCCACCTGCCTCTGCCTTCTGAGTGCTGGGATTAAAGGCATATGCCACCATGCCCAGCTTTTTTTTGTTTTTGTTTTTGTTTAAATTTTAGGTGTATGAGTGTATTGCCTTCATGTATGTAAGTGCACCATGTCATGCAGTGTCAGTGAAGGTCAGAAGAAGGAATTGAATTCCTGGAACTGGAGCTACTGACAGTTGTTAGCTGCCATGTGGGTGCTGAGAATCAAACCTAGATCCTCTGCAAGAGCAGCCAGTGTTCTTAACTACTGAGCCATCTCTC